CATTTTCATGTTGACCCTTAGTCTTCATCCGTTTATTGTTACAATATTATATAGGGAAATTTAATTTTAATTACTAAGGCAAATTAAAATGAATCAAATTAACGGAATGGCTTTAGAGAAAAAGGAGAAGGGGGAAATTTTTTAAAAGGAGAAAAAAAAATTTAGGTCATAGAAAGGTGTCATATCACCTTATATATATATATTTAACTTTATATTATATATAGATATAGATTAAGTAAAAAATTGAAAAGTGTAATTCATGGATAATTATTCATTGTAACAAGTTAAATGATAAAGAGGAAAATGTTTAAAATATGTTGTCATTTTATAATTAAAATAAGGTAAAAAAGAGAGAGAGAATAAATAAATAAATTATTAAGAGTAGAAATTGGAGAGGTGTGAATTATGAATAATTACTTGGCATGTGAGGAGTCTTTATTGTAAATGTTCTTCAATGAATAAAATATTTATTTGTAATAAATTAAGAAATTCACTTTTACAATAAAATCTATCTATCTATCTCTCTCTCTCTCTCTCTATATATATATATATATATATAAAGCTGAATATAGACAATCTGATGTGGCACCTCTGTATGACCAGTATTTTTATTTATCTTTTTTCTCCTTTTTTGACATTTTATCTTTGTTTGTATTAATATATGTATTTTAAAAAAAATTGAACGTATTTATGTCATACCCAATTAATTATGCCTTTTATAACATCCATTACACTAATATAGATTTAAGTAAATGAAAGATGAAAAGATGAAAAACTATTCATTTTTCATAATTGTTTATATTTATTTTATCTATAAAATAAAAATATTTGAGCATTTGTAACAAATAAGAACAAATTTCTTCACTTTGGCTCTTCTTCTGACGATGATGATGAATATATGGTATCAACTTATCTAAGATGTCCATCAAAAGAGAAAGAGAGAGTATCTCATGATTCTTGTGAATATATTGATGTAAGGAAAGAGATCATGTAACAAAAGTTTCTCAACAAAATAAAAGACTTTTTGGAAGAATGTTTATTCCTCCTACCAGGAGAGAAAATTCATTTTGGTTGAGAAATTTATAGGAAGGCTGATTAGTGTTTCAAAGGGTAAGAAGAATTATTTGGAGAAAAAAACAATCTATTTATGAAATTCGTATTAAATTAGGAGGAGAATAAGCAAAAAATTATTTTGTAATTTGAAAAGAGAGAAAATTAGATATTCTTTTAATTTCTTTCTTCTTTTATTTTGTCATGATTTTTTTGTATCTTTAATTAAAGTTTTTTTTCCTTATTTATCTTTAATTAAAGTTTATATATATTTTCTAAAAAAAATAATTTAAAAAGATGGATCATATTTAGTTCCTTTCCTCATGCTATTAATCTCATAATTAGTGTTATTTATATTATTTTCTTGATTACTTTTTTTCTTCCTTTTAATTATTTGTTTCAAGAAATTAGTTATTATAACTTGAATTACATATGTATTTTTACAAAATTGATTTGTCATTTTAAAATTTTTTGGACCATTCTTCTTCTTAAAGTTTCTATCTATATGTAATAAATAATAAAGCTAAAATAGAAAATGTGGGGTGACACCCTTCTTAGCAATAGATATCTATTTATTCTAATCAATGTTTTCTGACATTTTTTGTTATTTTTTCCTTAAAATAATTGTTGCCTCGATTTTTATTTTTAGTTTTATTTTTTAAGCTTTTTTTAATTTTAAAAAGACCAAAATTTTTATATTGAAAATTTGTAAAATATAAAAAATGATTTATTTAACTCCTATCATCAACAATATTATTATTAATTTCTTTTACTTCTTTCCTTAATTTTCATTTCATCATTAATGTAATTTATATCATTTTGTTATATAAGATAATCTTCATTTTTACATGATGTGTCATTTCTTAGAAGCTAGGATTACTATTTATCTAATTTCTCAAATTTTTGTATTCTTTTATCATACTAAATACAACATGTTTTATTATAATGACATTCAATATATTAATTAATATGTTGTATGAATGAAAAGAAAATTATCATTTCACAAAAATAAAGGTTAAATTATAATGGGTAAAGGGTCAAATATACCCCTAAACTATTCGAAAAGGTCTAGATATATCCTCCGTTTAAAGTTTGGCTCACTCGTGCCCTCGTCATCCAACTTTTCGTCTAGAATGCCCTTATGAGCGTTAGTTGGCCTGCTGGAAATATCCAACTCATTTTCCATTTCTTTAAATGTCACATGGAATTGCCATGTCATTTTGACTTTACCACATGACATTTATATGAAAATGGAAAGGGATCAATTAAGCCCCTAAAAAATTCGAACCCATAAATCAACCCCCCTTTTAAATAAACTACCCAACCCGTTTTCAATAATTTTGTTTAATTTTTTATTTTTTTCGGTAATCCGAAAATGAGTAATTGATTAATAAAAAATATGAAAAAATAAATAAAATTAACGCCAAAAATTCAAAAATAAATATTGTAACCTTAAATTCAACAAAAATTTTTTTTGGTAAATCCCGAAAATGAGTAATTGATTAATAAAAAATATGAAAAATGTGAAAAAAAATATAAAATTAACGCCAAAAAATCACAAAAAAATATAGTAACCTTAAATTCAACAATTTCAACAAATTTTTTTAATTTTTAGTTTTTCGGTAAATCCCAAAAATGAGTAATTTATTAATGGAAAAGGAATCACCATTTAATGAATCATTATTTTTAAAATTTTTGAATCATATCTTCTTCTAAAATTTTCTATCCATATGTAACAATAAAGTTAAAATAGAAAATGTAGTGACACCATTCTTAGTAATAGATACTTATTTATTCTTATCAATTTTTTCTGACAGTTTTGGTTATATTTTTCTTTCAAATAATTGTTGCCTCGATTTTTATTTATAATTTAGCATTTATTTTTTATTTTAAAAGATTGGAAATTTTATGTTAAATTTTTAAAAATATAAAAAATGATTTATTTAACTTTTATCATCACCAATACTACTAATTATTTCACCTCTTTCCTTAATTTTCATCTCATCATCAATGTTATTTATATAATTTCTTAAATCACTTATTTATTTATTTTTAACTCTTTTATTTTCTTTTTTACTCTTTATATATATAAAGTTGGATATGTAAATGATATACATTTCTAATTAGAAGCTAAGATTACTATTTATCTAATTTCTCAAAATTTTTGGGTTCTTTTATCATACTAAATACGATATGTTTTATTATAATTACATTCAATATAGTAAGCAATATGTTCTAGGATATAAAGAAAATTATCATTTTAAAAAATAAAGGTTAAATTATAATTTTATTATGATTAAGGAAAGATAAAAGATACTATTTCAATATCCCATAACCACATTCAATACATTAGAAATTAATTGAATATAACTGTAAATGGAATATGAATCACCATTTAAGGAAAATAAATGTTTGCAATACCATAATAATTAAGGAGAGAATAAGATATTATTTTAATATCCTAATTCAAAACTTTTGATCTACTACTCAATTAAAAAGAAAAGGCATTTAATAATATTAAAAGGTTATTAGTTTAATATTTTTTTTCTCATTCTACTAATTAACGATTTTATTTATTTTTAGCATTTATTTTTAGTTTTAATAAATTGGAAATTTTATGTTAAAATTTATAAAATATAAAAAATGATTTATCTAAATTTTATCATCATCAATACTACTAATTTATTTCACTTCTTTCCTTAATCTTCATCTCATCATTAATGTTATTCATATAATTTTCTTAAATCACTTATTTTTTCTTTTTTAACTCTTTTATTTTCTTTTTTACTGTTATATATATATAAAGTTGGATATGTAAAAGATGATGTGATGCTTCTTAGAAGCTAAGATTACTATTTATCTAATTTCTCAAACTTTTGGTTTATTTTGTCATACTAAATACGATATGTTTTATTATAATTACATTCAATATAGTAAGCAATATGTTCTCTGAATTAAAAGAAAATTATCATTTCAGAAAAATAAAGATTAAATTATAATTTTATTATGACTAAGGGAAGATAAAGATATTATTTCAATATCTCAATCCCATAACCACATTCAATACATTATAAATTAATTGAATATAGTTGTAAATGGGAAATGAATCACCATTTAAGGAAAATAAATATTTGCAATATCATAATAATTAAGGAAAGAGTAGGATATTATTTTAAAATCCTAATTCGGAACTTTTGATCTACTACTCAATTAAAAATAAAATGCATTTAATAATATCAAAAGGTTATTAGTTTAATTTTTCTTCTCATTCTACTAATTCAATTCAATCAAACTTAATTTTAAAGATAAAATAACAATATTTAAAAACAAAAACATTTAACAATATTTTTTACACAATATTTCCACTTTGGACAAAAATATCCTTGGAATGTGCAATTTCTTAAAAACAAAAAGTCGGACTCATTATTGATGTATTGAAGGATGCTTTGGTAATTTCCTATGATGAATTCGTTTTGTTTGTTTCTTTTAAATTTATTTTACTATACTAAATAATTCTATAAAATATTATGAATCACGATAATTAATTACTTAAATATTTAAAAGATATAAAAATATATAAAAGATCTGATTGTAATTAAATATCAAGAAGTTTAAAATAAAAGATTGAAAAAAGAAGAAGATAGACAACATATATTGAAAATTGAAAACATATAAATAATAAATGAGCCCAAATGAACACTTGTCATGTGCTAAGTAGTAGATATTTCCACTTACTATATATATATATATTTATCTTGTCCGCATCAGAAAAGATAACAACTACGAATTTTCTCGTTATTAAAAAAGATTATATATAAAGTATTTATGTAAAGTGCATGCAATATTTAAATTTGAAACGTGCGATCAATTATTATTTTTTCAGAAAAAAGGGGGATTTTTTTTAAGGGTAATAAAGTCTTTTGGACATGTTTTACATAGTGCTTGAAGGGTCTCCTATAGGATAATCATTCTATTATTCGCGATAGTTCCCAACAGACCGTGCCAACGAACTTCCGACTAAGTCTCCGATCGCCGACCGGTCGGCGTATTAGTCTCCTTTCTCCGATCAATTCAAGGTGCGTATCGATCTGCTCTGTGAATTATTTAAATGATCTACTTGTATTTGTGAAATTATCGTATCTTTAGGGTTTGATTTGTTCGGTTGTCTAAGAATCATGGCTCCAGCCGATTCGAAGGATCACAATTTAGTGTATTATTTATTTTTTAACGGAGAATCTAATTTAGGGAAAAAGAGATAGTTAAATTGACTGAAATTTACGGTCGTTTCTTTGATCTGAAGGTATTTGTGAACTTTGAGAAGGGGCAGAATGAGTCAGGTATTCGAAGGATATGAAAGACAGTACTGTGAGCTTTCAGCTAATTTAACGAAGAAATGCAACTCTGCTACTATCCTTGATGGAGGTGAGAAGAACAGCCATTTCCCTCCTTTTCTTTGAAAGATGCTCTTTTGATGCATTCTTGTTCTCTTCTGAAGAGTTTATGCATAATATGTCAATTTCTGCTTGATATTAAAAAGAACAAGCCGGTGCAAACACCACAATTATTAAAAAGAAAATTTCTGCTTGATTTTTTTGATCTTTTAAATCTCAAAGAATATTTACAAGAATAAATAGCACTGCTCTTCATGCTGGATTACACAACATGTCCTATAAAACCAATTTGTTTTTAAAAATGGAAATAATATGTCAATCTGTGGTGGCTATAGCTTTTACTAAAGTTGGTTAGATTGTTTTGGTTATTTGGCTAATTATTTACTTTCTCATAGCTCAGTGTTTTCCTGCTGGCCAGTTCTATATATTTTAACTTTGGCAAATGGATGAGATTTTCTATCAAGTGAGCAATTGGGAAGATTATAAAAATGGTTCTTAATTGTAGAACTTTGTTTAATTTTCCAAAATGTGTAGTCTCTCTCTGCTAGCATTTCAATTGATTTTTGTGAAAAATGCATAAGCTATTTTAGCAGGTGTTAATAAGATATCCAAAATGAGGAGTATAGAGTTAGCAATGGGAGGAGATATTACACGTGCGAGGTCAAGATATCTAGTTTGCTTTTAGATACACATTAGGTAATTGGAGTGCCTGAAAGTAATTTTGGCATTACTCTTATGTGTAACTGTGTTCCAGATGATATAACTACTGATATATTGTAATGATCTTTGACTGGCATCATACATATCACTATTTCAGTACTGTTGTTTATGGAAGCAACTCGTAACAAGAAAGTTACAGTAATACAAATCCTGTAACTAGGGTGGATTATGCAGGCGATAACATTCTCTTGATCTTGTAAAAAATGGATATAACATTCTCTTGACATAATTGTCCTGAAATCTACCCCAGAAAATGCTGCTAAGTTACATTTGAAACCTCCGCTGTTACTACTTGTTTTTGTGTTCTTCTGCATTTTTTACCATTTGGTGAGTTATTGCCTTTTTGTTGCTTCTGTTACTTCTCAATCACAGGGCTCATTAACCTGAGATTTCTGTATTTCATTCTATTTTGGACCTCTGTTACAGCTTTACTCTTTGACCATTAGCTCAGTTGCTTTTTAAAACTGTTTCTGTGTCTTTTGTTCAACTTGCAGAACAGAAGAAACAGAAAGTGTCTGAAATAAAAGCTGGCCTAGATGATGCTGAAGCGTTGGTAATTCGTAAAGCTTTGGCTGCAACCTGTTTTTGCTTGTTTCTGAAATATTTTGGTTTATAATGCTCTTTTGTCCTCATTTCCAGATTCGCAAAATGGACCTAGAAGCTCGGAGTTTACCTCCAAATGTTAAAGCCACACTTCTTGCCAAGTTGAGAGAATATAAGAGTGATCTGAACAACTTAAAAACTGAAGTGAAAAGAATCACATCAGGAAATGCAAACCAAGCTGCAAGGGATGAATTGTTGGAATCGGGAATGGCAGATGCTAACATGGTAATCCCCTTTCCCTATCGTGTTTTCAAGAATCAAGCTAGTCAGTTCGTGAAAGTAGATTCTCATTCCCTTCTTGTTAAACGTAGGTGGCTAGTTTCCAATTGCTACTTCAATCCTAATGGCATGCAGATAATTGTACTGCACAGACTGACTATCATAGTTTTCCAGACATCTGAACCAATAATGCTTTTCTCACATTGTATTACTTTACTGGTTTACATTTTCAACTTTCTCTTTGTGGTCTACATCAATTTTAGGTTCTATTTTTGGCCCCCTCTTTTGTGTTGTTTGAATGGTTTTCCTTTACAAGGGAAGTACCAGTGTGGTGTAGTTTATGTCAAGAGGGAGAACAGCAAGTAGTGTAAGCTTCTAAGCAGGTTGGAACTTGTATTACTCCGTCCATTCCATTTTATGATAGAGGTATTCGATTGGGCACAAGGTTTAAGATGTTAATTTGATTTTTACTATATTTGTGATATTGGAAAAGAACGTTAAACTAATAGTTGAAAATTAAATCTGATAGAGAAACTTCTCTTCGAGTTAAAATCTAAACATTTAAATGAGTTTATAATCTTGAAAGTTGTGAAAGTGGTATAGAATATAATTACTTGTGGAATGGTGTCAAATACGTCTGGAATGTTGCATGAAGGAAAGAATATTCATATAAATTGGAAGGAGAAACATGAAGTTATAAAGACCTCTATGGCAAGCTCGTTGCTTGAGTCTTCTTTTCGAGCAATCATATCTTTTATCAATGTACTGTCAGGATATCTTATGCGAGAGTGAAAACTTCTTCACTTTTTGATTGACGCTTCATTGGAAATTATGCTCTTGCTTGATCAAAATTTTGATCTAATGCCATACAGGTGTCTGCTGATCAAAGGCAAAGGTTGATGATGTCAACAGAGAGATTGAACCGTTCAAGCGACAGGATCAGGGATAGTCGAAAGACAATGCTAGAAACTGAAGATCTGGGGGTCTCAATTCTTCAAGATTTGCATCAACAACGTCAGTCTCTTCTGCATGCACATGACACGGTACACAATCAATTCATTTTTATTCATCATATCTGAACAGCCTAAACAAATTCTGAAACTAAGAGGTGGACAAACAGAGATTCTGATATGCCATTAATGTGAATATTAAAAGATCATGTGGTTTGATAAATCTAATTAAATTTACTTTAAAGAAAGGTTTCTGTGGAATAAGCTTGAGATTAACATGCGTAATTATGTAAATGCAATGATCAGTAAGTTTCTTCCTTCACAGCTCCATGGAGTGGATGATAATATTAGCAGGAGCAAGAAGATTCTGACTACAATGTCAAGAAGGATGAGCAGGAATAAATGGATCATTGGCACTATCATTGTTGTCTTGGTCCTGGCTATCCTATTAGTTCTTTACTTCAAGCTCGCCCATTAGCTCAACGGATGGTTTTCAGGATTCTGCCGCTTCTCATTTGTTACAGCAAAACATTTATCTTTGGACACACTGCTTCTGATTTCACAGTTAGTTGCCTCATTTGCGGTCTGTGTGGTGTGGTTTGGTAGTGTGCTTCTTATACTGGCAATTTTCATAATATTAATTCCCATGTTTGTCTATTACTATGTTTGAATTTGGTGATCCTTGTCTGAAATGAGTAAAATGTATTTAATGTTATGCACCAATTTAGTCTCTTTCCCTTCTTTTCATCACTATCGCTCTTTGCTTTAGCCCACTCATATCCCCCCCTGTTCTTCTTTGGACTTATTATGGTTAATCTTTCCAAAGGATTGGATCAGATAACAACCAAGGTCATCTAAAAACGAATTATTATCTTAAAAAAGATAAACCTTTTCAGATCCAAGAGTAAGAGTTGATTGCCCTTGTGTACAGTAATTCTTTATCCCCCTTGGAAACCTACGCTTTTGAATGAGATTTAGCATCTTTTATGAGGAGGATCCGTCTGTTATTGCTTAAAGTAAAATATGTTCCTTTAGTACATATGTTCAGAAAACACTTGGGTGTAAAATGTGTGTATATACATAGGTTTTATTTTTTGCAAAATAATATAGGGCGATAAAGGACATGTACGGTGGAGCCAAGACTCGGGTTAGAACGGTGGGAGGTGACTCGGAACATTTCCCAGTTGAGATGGGGTTGCACCAAGGATCAGTCCTTAGCCCTTTTCTATTTGCTTTGGTGATGGATGAGATGACGCGGTCTATTCAGGAGGAGGTCCCATGGTGTATGTTATTTGCGGATGACATAGTACTGATTGATGAGACGCGGGACAGAGTTAACGCGAGGTTGGAGGTGTGGAGACAAACGCTTGAGTCCAAAGGGTTTAAGTTGAGTAGGACCAAAACAGAATATTTGGGGTGCAAATTTAGTGATGCGTTGGATGAGGCAGATGTAGAAGTGAGACTTGCCACACAGATCATTCCTAAGAAAGAAAGTTTTAAGTATCTTTGGTCTGTAATACAAGGAAGTGGCGACATCAATGATGATGTCACACATCGCATTGGGGTTGCTTGGATGAAATGGAGGCTTGCCTCTGGAGTCTTGTGTGATAAGAAAATTCCACCTAGACTTAAAGGTAAGTTCTACAGAGTGGTAGTTAGACCGACCTTGTTGTATGGAGCGGAGTGTTGGTCAGTCAAGAACTCACATGTTCAGAAAATGCAGGTTGCGGAGATGAGGATGTTGAGATGGATGTGTGGGCACACTAGGAGTGATAAGATTAGGAATGAAGTTATCCGGGAGAAGGTGGGAGTGGCCTCTGTGGTGGACAAGCTGAGGGAAGTGAGACTGAGATGGTTTGGTCATGTGAAGAGACGGTGCGCAGACGCCCCAGTGAGGAGGTGTGAGGGGCTGGTTGTAGAGGGTACGCGGAGGGGTAGAGGTAGGCCTAAGAAGTATTGGGGAGAGGTGATTAGACAGGACTTGGCTCAGCTTCACATTACCGAAGACATGACTCTAGATAGGAAGGAGTGGAGGTCGCGTATTAAGGTTAAAAGTTAGTAGGGCTAGCGTGTTGTCTCTCCTTGCAAGGGTAGGGGTTGTTAGCGTGTGTAGTAGTCCTAGTCTTGCACTTGCAGTTCTTGTCTGTGATATCGATAGCCTTATGTTGTTTAATAATGCGTTTCACTTCTCTCATTGTTTATTGATGTTACTTTCTTCCTTTGTTGATTGTATACTATCTTTCGTATTAGATGGTATGTATATACACTGTTTTCCTCGCCTTTTACTTGGATTTGATGTACCTGAGCTGAGGGTCTTTCGAAAACAGCCTCTCTACCTCGCACGAGGTAGTGGCAAGGTCTGCGTACACTCTACCCTCCCCAGACCCCACCTAGTGGGATTCCACTGGGTATGTTGTTGTTGTTGTAATATAGGGTCAAGGAAAATCTCAAATCTTGTACTTGGCAAGTATGTTCTGAGATCATGCATTTTTGCAAAAGTGGTCATTTTTCACCTGTGAAACTCATCTAGTCTCGGTTGAACATGGGTCAGTAACGGTCTGCAAATACCACACCTTGTGACTATTTTGCCAACGGAAAGCTCTCCAGGTTAAGCTTGCTTATGTCCGATTAAAAAATAAACCACAGAGAGCTCCCAAAACTCACAATATTGTGAAGGCAAGAGGCTCCAACTACTCTTTAAAAAAGTAAAACATGCATAACTTTCAGGTATCACCTAATGCTACCCGTATGCCACCGTTATGGATAGAAGCAGCAAACAATGATATACTAAGCTTTGGCAATATCTCAGAGTTGACCACGCAATCTATCTGTTACATACAGATTCCATCTTTCTTCTCTTTTGCTATTGTAAAATTGAAAACAGTTTTCGGAAAAAATGTCACTGTCATCTCATTACTTTGCTCGACTGTGAAATCACTGGCTCTGGCCACCTCACTCTCCACGATAGTTCCTAAATTCCAGTGACATTAGACAGGAAAAGCCAGTGCCGCTATAACACAATTAGGGCCTGTTTGGATTGGCTTATGGCTTATGGCTTATGACTTATAAGCCAAAAGCCATAAGTTAGAATTTCTAACTTAAGACTTTTTGACTTATTTTGATTTTAAAATAAGTGTTTATAAACACTTTTTAACTTTATCCAAACACTTCAAAACTGCTTAAAAGCTATTTTTGACTTAAAAGCACCTAAAATAAGTCAATCCAAACGGGCACTAAGTTCTCCTGTCCAGATTGTTTCTCTTAGAATCTTGATTTTAGCTTTATACATTTCCTTGTTAACATATAGTGATATGATGCTGAAAAGCAGTGGGATCACGAGGATTTCTTAATTTTTCATTGCACAACTGATCATGCATGTAGACACAGTCTCTGAAGGTAAGTTGAAAGCAAGCCTGTTCCATTTGTGGGCTGTTGATCAAACTGAAGCATCTTTCTTTCTGCATTCATCCTCGAGGTATAACAGCTCTTTGCACAGGTATTCTGAGAACACAAACCATTCATTGACATGGAAAACTACCAAAAGATTGCAATCATCATAAACACATCGATGGATCGTCCTCAGGTGAATCAAAGTTTCCAGTTTGTTCCTCCTCATCCTCCTCTTCATCAACATCATAATCAGCTGACGCAGGATGCCCATTAAGATCCACATTCACACCATTGACCTTCCTTACAAACTGTCCTCTCACACGAGGTCTCCGTTCTGCCAGCTTTTTTCGGTTAACATACCTGATCTTCTTGTCAAAACATCTTTCCTTTCTCTTCTGTCTAAACTTCAACAGTGCGGCTTTTCTACGATCAACTTTGCTCCACTTACCTTCAGCCGAAGGCAAATTTCCAATTGTGGGCCATTGATGTGGTGTTGGCATTTCGCCAGGTCGTAAGCATAGGCCCATAGGGTAGTAAGGAAATGATGACATCCCATGCATATGAGGGGGATATGGTGGCATATGATTGTATTGAGGTGACGCAGCTGAATTAGCATGGTTGTGGAGATCTTGCAGGTTCTTCTGATACATTTGTGCTGATGGTGGCATCATGACTTGATTCATTGCTCCAGGCATAAAATAGGAATAAGCATTTGGAATGTGAAAATTCACAGCATCACGCTGGGCTTCATTGCGCGGATGCATGTACACCTGCGAGAACTCCTCCATCCTTGAGTTCCTCTGTTGCGGTAATTCTAGTGATAAAGGGGGAGTAGAGGACCTTTCCATGGAATACGAATCTGGTAAACTGTTACTACTTGGATAGTCATCAACATGTGAATGATTTTCAACTGCATCTCCATTAACTTGCATTTGAGTTTCAATCTCTAAATGCCCTACAGCTGCATTGGTCTTCTCTTCCATCCTTGATTGGTGAGCCACATTTTCATGGGTAGAGATCATTCCTTGGTCATTGCTTTTAGGCATGCCTGATTTGACATAGGTAAAGAATGCTGAGGACTCACCTATCTTCAGTTCACTCTTCTTAGGAAATGAAGAAATTCGTCCTGTTCAATAAGCATAATATTAAACTTAAACCCATCTGTAGAAATAGGAAAGGTTAATCTCATATTGTTATAATTCTCAGAAGCATACCAGGCAAAGCATATTACCCGTAGTAATCAATTTCCGGGTCTGTTACATATACTAGAGCACAGAGATTACCATTGAAGTTGCTTATTAAGTAACTCATTTAAAAGGGCTATTTGAACACAAAAGTTTAAAGGCATTTGTACATCCGTTAACAAGTACTCAATGATTGCCCTAAACCATTCCAACAACAACATACCCAATGTAAGTGTAATCCCACAAGTGGGGTTTGGGGAGGGTAGGATGTTGGTGGACCTTGCCCCTACCTTTGTGGGGTAGAGAGGCAGAATTGCAAGAAAAATATGACAAGTAAAATAGCAATGCACAAAGAAAATGCAACAGCAGATAGTAATATACGCAAAAGAATAAAGACACGTGACTACTAAATAAGAAGAGGAGGCTAGCCCCCTAAACCATTCCAATGATAAAATACATCAAACTCGACTTTAGGCAAAGGAATACAGAACCTACTCAAACTTTTCCTCAGCACATGCCAAATCTACAAACAGTGGTAAGGCCTGCTTCTATTACTTGCTTACACTACCACTACCTTAGACATGCCTCACATTTCCACTAAATAGTTTATGCTCCAAAATTTGAGTGTTAAAAAGACTAAATATGTTGCTCAGGCTCTCCAAGAACATTGTTGTACCTGTATCGGATCCTCAAAAAATGCACCACTTTTGGAGATTCGACACACACCAATCGATATTTTTGAAAAGTCCGAGCAACATATCACTGGCTAATGATTTCAGGCTAAAGTAACAGCAATATACACAAATACCTAGAATATACCTTTCAAGTATGAAGGAAAACTGGAAAAACAGAATGATTTTAGGCTTAAGCAACAGAAATATACTCGAATGCCTACACTTTTAAGTACCCATAGAGCATGGAGGAAAGTGAAAATGCAACCCAAGTAACAAGCTACACTTCTCTCTTCCTTCTTTGGGTTGGGGAAGAATGTCGTGTGTGTATGGGCAGGAGGCTAAGTGCCGTATATGGGTGAGAAATATGTAATAGGTAACCTACTCTGTCAACCCAATGTTGCTTCCTTTAACAAATAGCACTAAACAAACTTGACAACAGAAAAAAAAAAACTAATGAAAGGTAGTATTCACTTTCTAGAGAGATCAGTGAATCATTTTTTTTTTTGAGAAAGGTAACATAGATCAGTGAATCATTTTGTTCCTCAGGTTGAAAATAATGGCAAGTTAATCGCATTACAACAATCAAGGAGACTGAATGACTTAAAGCCATATGAATCACTGACCTGTCTGTCGATTATTAGTTCCTGGCACATTATACTGACACTCAAATGGAACCACAACCACAGTCTCTACAGCAGCAGTAGTGGTGGCAGCATTGATCTGAAAATATAGTAACCAAGAGACGGGAAATGCAAAACCATCATATGTCAGTTTATTCCTCTCTAATCAGGAAGGAAACTATTGCTGAATGTTAGAAAACAGTAACAGGTTCATAAAAAGGCATGAACAAAGGTTATTATATCACCATAGGATGTCAGAAAACCGCACTCCTAAAGATTTGCAATGTGAATATCATTCTTTTAATATTTGTATCAGATAATAATTTTTGACAAATAATTGTCTGATAGGAGTAATGATTAAGTCTCTTTAAAAAATCTGAAGGTTGGGTGTAAGGATGCAAGAAGCCCCTTCTCAGTCTGTTGTTTGTCACTTGGAATTGATGCAAAACTAACGTGCATTACAATTGTTATATAGTGTGCTTAGCTGTTTAAGATCTGCTAGCAGGAATTAAATTGCTTTAGCAATTTATTTAGTTGTTAATAAATTGCTTTAGCATATTACCACCCTTTACAGTGGTCTGAAATTATTGTAAGATAAGCTCAACAATTTGGCAGTTACAGCAGGGAAACAAGAAAAGAATATTTTAGTAAAGGGGTATGCCTATATCTGTTAATGACGACATTTAAACAATAGCTTAAATCAGCTCATTATCATTAAGAAAGGAGGAAAACAAGTTTTAACTCTATCTAAAAATTTAATAAACAGCACATTGACAAATGGAGGTAGACCCCAGAAAATGACTCAGTGGTTGCTGAGTGAATTTGTGCTGCAGCTAGAAAACATAATTTGCAAGTAATTTTCAAAACAAAGGGAGCTTCTGGTGCTTCCAGGAATTTAGGTTCATCATCCAGGTATTGGGATATTGATGCTGCTAGCTACCATGAATTATTCCAAGAGATTTGAGTTTGGTCCATGACCACACTAAACCATATTCAAATAAAAACCTATCTTGCTAAAGAAACCATAAGTATGTAAACCTAAAAGTAACACCCACATCAACACGATTAGTCAAAGGTCTGATGACAGTTCACCTTCCAGTTTCCCTGGAGGAGGAAACAGAGTGTGTCAACGGCAGCAGAGTGATGGCATTAAGTTTTGTAATTTTTTTTAACTCCACCCCACAACCAAGAAGTCACCCGTAAAATTTCATATACCACTTGGTTATGTCAACTTTCAATTCTGAAGCCTCCACACTTTCAAGGCTTATCTCAAAATTACAGACTTACAAAAGAACAAGTCACTGATGCACACAAAACAGTCACCTTGAATACAGAGAAAATATGAAAGCACAATGATGAATTTTAATAGTGATGTTATGAAAATTTGGACTGCCATGCAAAATTACCTCATCTTCGAACTGAATAGACGGACATAATTCCAGATTGACACTCTTCCGGGACTTATCATCAGTATCATCAGAGAAAAGAGTAGTGCTATTTGTATTATGATCACTGGGGTCTGATAAAATCAAATCAAAGTCGTAACTCAGGATGTTCTTCTCTGCTAGTCCAAGCTGTACATGGAACAAAAGAAAAGCAAGGAACATTAAATGGATGTTTGTCATAGACCATATAAGAATCCAAAATTATAGGGTAGAGAAGTTCCCTTCATGCAACTAAGGAAAATGATGTCAAAAATAAAAAGGGTTCAAACATTTTTTGTTTCTTTATTAAGAACATGCGCCTAGACCCTTCTATTTACCTTTACACTAAATCAACCAAAGTCTTTCAAGTAAGAGAAATGCAATTGCTAAGAAGAATTGTTAAGCGATCAAGTAAAATACATGCCATTTGCCTTCTTCTCCACATGTGAGTCCACAAGTTCAACAGCTCATTAGTGCGGAGAGGCTTCACAAGGTAGTCAGCTGCTCCAAATTTGAGGCACTTGACGACAATAGAAACTTCATCTTGTGATGACATCACTAGGAAAGCGAAAAAAACAATGAAATTATTTACTGCTCTTTCAGTACAGTCGAAATCAAGTTATAATTTATACAAAGTTATGCTTACTGATCACAGGAATGCGTCGCAGTTCTTTATCCTTCATAATGTATTTC